GCAGGCCTTTTCTTTCCTAACCAGAGGTGCCATCTAGGGGTGGGCTGAGGGGCCCCAAATTTTCATGGAGGGAGCTGGGTCCCCTCATTATTCCCCAGATCTCTGTTCTGGTCCATCAAAGTTTACCATCATTCACACATGCATTCACATGTTTCTCAGAAAATGCTTAATTGCCTAACCGTCCACTGCCATTGGAACTAGTTACAAAATACATAAGATTAAAGCTATATCAAGTTTATCCACAAATTCAGTGTAAAGGGAGATTGGATACCTAACTGGAATCATGGAACTTTTGAGACTTTCTCCAAAACTATCACAATGCACAGAGATACATAAGTACCGGTACTTCAAAAGTCACACAGAACCCGTTCCGGAAGTCCGTTTGACTTCCCAAATGTCCAGAAACCAAATGCGGCTTCTGATTGGCTGCAGGAAGCTCCTGTAGCCAATCAGAAGCCCTGTCGGATGTTCAGCTTCCAAAAGAACGTTTGAAAACCGGAACACTCACTTCTGGTTTTTGATCATTTGGGAGCCAGAACGTTTGACTCCCAAGGCGTTTGGGAGCTGAGGTACGACTATATGCAGAAAGGCAGGGCCGGACTTTGGTAATCTTTTGGAATACGGTACCAGGTGTGAGGCCAAAATTTGGCGCCACAAAATGGATTGTCTCAATTATGGATCTTCTCAATCTTGCACCCCTTTGGCCCAGTGCCCTGTGCAGTAGAACTGCCCGCACCACCCAAAACCTGGCACTGATACAGGTGAAGGTCCAGCCCTGATCTGGCACCTGAAAGAATGTAAGGACAGCGAAGACAAGGGCCTCAGACTCCAGAATGAGAATGAAGGTCACCCAAGGCAGCAGTGCTCTCTTAACACACTTTTAAACAAGGAATGTAATACATAATATTGAAAAAACAGCACACCTCTACTAAGAGCATCAAGCCCAGAGTCTAAAATTACTGAACTGTGCCTCTAGCGCATAGCGATGCTATGTGTATTATTAGACTCTGCAGATTTTGTGACAGATTACAGACACACAGAAATGTGTCTAAAAATTCATAGCATCCAATCTAAAAAGTTCATTTGCCTGGAAGTAAGTCTGCTTCCTGGTTTTCTAGAGAAGTGAAACATTTCTAGAGAACATGATGAAAGTATTATTTCTTCTGTAATCAGCAAAATGTATTCCCATGGTGGTTCTTTTCGTTACAGAGAATACTCTCCACAGAGAAAGTGTATTGCATTAGAACGTACAGTTAGATGGAAATCCGTATGCATGGCCAGCCCACTCATGCAATACTTACCTTAAAAAAGAGATGGGGAAGAGGCGGAACCAGGTGGAAACTAGGGAGAGAATATTGTTATTGTGGTATCCAACTTGCAGATAGATAGATAGATAGATAGATGATAGATAGATAGATGATAGATAGATAGATGATATATAGATATAGATAGATAGATAGATAGATGACAGACAGGCAGACAGAGACTTCAATGGGGAAGTAAAATGAAAAAAAAGAAAGGGGCGAACCCTGTAATTGTGAGGCGCTGAGAGAATTTTGGTGAAATTGTGACCCCGCAGGTTAGCAATTTTTTTAAAAAAAATTGTGAGCGCGCGGGTTGAGGCGTCGAGGTCTGCTTTTTTTGGTCTATGATAAAACGTGCTGTTTGCACCGCCAAACCTTGCAGGGGAGAATTTGCAACAGTTTGGCAGGCACCATTTTTGAGTGAATTGGGTAACGTCAGATTTTTTTGTGAAATTGTGACCCCGCAGTTTAGGGATTTTTTTGGGAAAAGATTTTATGTGGTCTGATTTTTCCCCCTATGATAAAACGTGCTTTTTGTACCGCCAAACTTTCCAGGGGAGAATTTCCAACTGTTTGGCACGATTTTTGAGTGAATTGGGTAACGTCAGATTTTTTTGTGAAATTGTGACCCCGCGGGTTAGGGATTTTTTTCGAAAAAATGTCTCTCTGTGGGTTCAGGCACCGAGGGCTATTCTGTTTGATCTATGATAAAGCGTGCTTTTTGCACCGCCAAACCTTGCAGGGGAATATTTGCAGCAGTTTGGCACCATTTTTGAGTGAATTGGATATTTCAGATTTTTGGTTAGGGATTAGGGATTTTTTCACAAAAAAGTTTTTCCACAGGTTATGGAGATGTTTTTCTGTGTCAACACCAGGTGAATAATTAAGCATACTAATAATTCGCAAGCTTTTGATTTTTGAAGGCTTTTTAAAATTTGACCACTGAACGTGTTTAAAGTGTTTGTTATTGAAGATCTGATCATTTTGATTTCATGATATATTGTGAACTTCCCCAATATATTTTTTTCTGAATGAAAGGATAGTATAGAAATGTTCTCCATATACATACATGTCTCCACCTGCATTCTAAAATGTTAGCCTCAGCAGGCTGTAGCTTCATTTTGATGTGTAGATTGGCTCTAAAAGCATGCAATGAAAACATTTTTACTTCAGCTGTTTTTTCTTTCTGTTTTTAAATTTCAAGAACATGCTCGTCCGGTTTTGGAAAGGTCAGCTATGTGGTTTTAAATCCTTCACGTTCCTTTTCAATTTGCTTATTGCCAGTGCATGCTGTCTGTCACTGTTTTCCCCTTGCAATGTGTTATAATTAGGATGGTGGACACAGGAGGCGCTGTGGTCTAAACCACTGAGCCTCTTGGGCTTGCCGATCAGAAGGTCAGCGGTTCAAATACCCGCGACGGGGTGAGCTCCCGTTGCTCGGTCCCAGCTCCTGCCAAGCTAGCAGTTCGAAAGCACGCCAGTGCAAGTAGACAAATAGGTAAATATGGCAGGAAGGTAAACGGCGTTTCCGTGCGCTGCTCTGGTTGGGAAGGTAAATGGCGTTTCCATGCGCTCTGGTTTCCATCATGGTGTCCCGTTGCACCGGAAGTGGTTTAGTCATGCTGGCCACATGACCCAGAAAGCTGTCTGTGGACAAATGCCGGCTCCCTCGGCCTGAAAGGAAGATGAGCACTACAACGCTAAAGTCGCATTTGACCACACTTAACTATCCAGGGGTCCTTTACCTTTATCTTTAACTAGGATGATGTGGTTTACTGTGATAGGCCATCCCGGGTATAGAGAAGCAATATCTCTGCAGCATTCATGGGCTTGGCTGCCCACTGACAGTCCCTGGGGGTAGTACCCACCCTACCTTGTGTACCCTGAAAGCTTTGCTCCCCTCGTAGTCTGGGACTTTCTCAACTTTGGGTCCCGAGATTTTGCTGAATTACAGCTCCCATCAGCGCTAGCCAGCTGTTAGGAATGGTTGGAGTTGTGGTTCAAGAACATCTGGGGACCCAAGGTCGAGAAAGCCTTCTCTGGGAACTAGAGGAACAGTCAATGTCTATGAGCTCAGAAAGCTCTCTGCATCTGTGCGTCCGCAATATGGCACCCTGTTCAAAGCCAAAATTTGGTCACCCCCCAATGGATCTTCTCAATTATGGTTCTTCTCAATTTTTGCACCTCCTTGGCTCATCACCCTGGGGTGGGGAGCTGCCTGGACTGCCCTAAACCTGGCGCTGATCCCTGTTGGGAATTGCTTCCCACTCAATGAACCATAGCTTTATTTTTATTTTTTTATTTTTTTAAAGTATGTTTCTAGCATTTATAAAACCTGAAATATGAAGCAAACTGTCCAAGCACCATTCTCAGTTGTATTATGAGAAACTAGTTTTACAATAGGTTTAGTTCAAGGGTCAGCAAATGTTTTCAGCAGGGGGCCAGTCCACTGTCCCTCAGACCTTGTGGTGGGTGAACTGAAGGGTTCAGCCAACATGCTTATATAGAGCTCAACTACAACGCAACTGTAACAACTTTCTGTAACTATCCAATCACTGAACGTCACTTTCAATTCCTTATTTGCATATGTGGACCTGAGTGAAAACTATCTACAGTATCCCCCTGCTGGCCCAGGGTGAGAACTTCAGTATATAACAAATACCTTCCAGAGAGCAAGAAGAGGTACAACTAGAGAGAGAGTTGTACGGGTAAAGGATCCCTGGACAGTTAGGTCCAGTTAGGTCTAGTCCACATGGGGTTGCAGCGCTCATCTTGGTTTCAGGCTGAGGGAGCTGGCGTTTGTCCACAGACAGCTTTCCAGGTCATGTGGCCAGCAGGACTAAACTGCTACTGGTGCATGGAGGACCGTGACAAGTGCCAGAGCACCCGGAAACACCGTTTACCTTCCTTCTACAGCAGTACCTATTTATCTACTTGCACTGGAGTGCTGTCGAACTGCTAGGTTGGCAGGAGCTGGGACAGAGCAACGGGAGCTCACCCCGTCGCGGGTATTTGAACCTCCGACCTCCCGATCGGCAAGCCCAAGAGCAGGCATAGACAAACTCGGCCCTCCAGATGTTTTTGGCCTACAACTCCCATGATCCCTAGCTAGCAGGACCAGTGGTCAGGGATGATGGGAATAGTAGTCCCAACACATCTGGAGAGCCCAGTTTGCCTAGGCCTGCCCAAGAGGCTCAGTGGTTTAGACCACAGCGCCACCCACGTCCCGCTAGACTTGCAGCGGTTCTCAACCTGTGGGTCCCCAGATGTTGTTGGACTACAACTCCCATCATCCCTGAGCTCTGACCTTGCTAGCTAGGGGTGATGGGAGTTGTAGTTCAACAACATCTGGGGACCCACAGGTTGAGAAAGGCTGCACTAGAGAGAGAATAAAGAAGCAATAGCCAGTCACTGAGGCACATTGTCCTTGGTCCTGGATGTACAATGGGTATTTGCGAAGAGGTGTGGGAGAATTGCGATTGGTGCCTCCTCATGCTTTTGTCAGGAGGGTGGGAACATGAGAACGAGCCTGTTCTGTGGTGGCTCCTCATTTGTGGAATGCACTCCCCAGGGAGGGGGAGAAGGGGCTCTCTCCTTCTAGCCATTGGTCAGCAGTCATGGCTATTTAACATTTGACAGGAAAGGGGAGACTATAGCACATGGAAGTATGCATGAAATATACTCGGAGTCGAGTGTGAATTTCATGCTCTTTATTCAGCTCGTAGGAGCAATGAATCAAACTTTTCCCAAAACGTCTAGTTATATATACATTATTCACACAATGGGCCCCACGTGACTGTCTAATTCCGGGCTGCTCCTGCAGGCCAATCAGGTTGCTGATTCACTTCATCCAGGAGCCTGATTGGCTGCTCCTGCAGGCCAATCAGGTCGCTGATTCACTTCATCCAGGAGCCTGATTGGCTGCTCCTGCAGGCCAATCAGGTCGCTGATTCACTTCCACCTGGAGCTGGATTGGGTGGCTCCTGCGGACCAATCAGACTGCTGCATGCTGGATCCTACTGTTCTAGGATTCAGCTCAGTACATAACAATGCATCTACCTCGAGGGGGGGAGGGCTGTACTGAAACACTGAAACTGCAGTAGATGTCCGATCCCCTGCATGCCAACAGAGAATTTAGCTGCATGTGAGCATTAGTGAGTCAGACATGGTTTTCTCTTCTGTAGGAACAGAGGAGAGTGGATACCCAGTTCGGACAAAACAGATTGTGTACATACACTCTACCCTTCAAGCTCATTTGGAGCACATTCATTCCCCTCAAAGAATTGTGTGCCAAGGCACCCTAGCCACAAAGTTCCCAGCAGAACAATAAAACACACCAACACGAAGGATTTTGGTTTATGGGTTCAAGCAGGCCACAACTTTATGGGTTACAGATGTGAGCGGTTTGGCTTAGGCATTGGGGTGAAGCCAGTCTATGTCTTGACTCCTGCCCATCTGCAGGGAGTCCACTTAAGGGCAAACCACTGATAGGGGGCGCCCTATGACTTACATCAGATAGTGGCACCCTGAGGGGTCCCTGTAGGGGCTGTGACATGGCCCTAGCCCACGTCCAGGCTTCGGACAGGATCCACACCCCAGATCCCTTTACAGCAGGGGTAGGCAACCTAAGGCCCATGGGCTGGATGCGGCCCAATTGCCTTCTCAATCCGGTCCACGGACGGTCCGGGAATCAGCGTGTTTTTACATGAGTAGAATGTGTCCTTTTATTTAAAATGCATCTCTGGGTTATTTGTGGGGCCTGCCTGGTGTTTTTACATGAGTAGAATGTGTGCTTTTATTTAAAATGCATCCCTGGGTTATTTGTGGGGCATAGGAATTCGTTCATCCCCCCCCCCAAAAAAATATAGTCCAGCCCCTCACAAGGTCTGAGGGAGAGTGGACCAGCCCACGGCTGAAAAAGGTTGCTGACCCCTGCTTTACGGGTTATCCTTACTGAGGTAACTCAGTCTCCAGTATTTTCCTATTATTATTATTATTATTATTATTATTATCATCATCATCACATCCACATTTTTTTTTCTTCCTGGATTCAAACTGGAGACACACTACAATCAGAAGGATATGTATGCACTTTCTCAAATTTCCCCCAAACCACGGGAGCAAACCCTCCGTGTAAATTCAGGACAGCACAGTTTAACTCTTCCCTCGCTCCCATTTCGGAAAGTTCAAGCATGTCTTGAAAATTCCTCAGCTGGTTATTTTGACTGGTGTGTAACTGGAATTTATAAGTTTCTGGAATGCAGAGTTAAAGTAAATTATCAAACCATCAATTCTAGCATGCGGGGTGACGACGACAACAAAATAATATAATTTGGCATCTGAACAATTGGCACTACTGATTGTATTATAATTTGGTATTGTGACAATGAGGCTTTTATTGGGTTATTGTACAGTGGTACCTCAGGTTAAGTACTTAATTCATTCTGGAGGTCCGTTCATAACCTGAAACTGTCCTTAACCTGAAGCACCACTTTAGCTAATGGGGCCTCCTGCTGCCGCCACGCCGCCAGAGCACGATTTCTGTTCTCATCCTGAAGCAAAGTTCTTAACCTGAAGCACTATTTCTGGTTAATGGAGTCTGTAACCTGAAGCGTATGTAACCTGAAGCGTATGTAACCTGAGGTACCACTGTAATTGAAAACTAATAAAAATTATTGCACAAGAAAATTCCTCAGCTGCAGTGAGCTACATGAAGGAATCCTACTATGGATTTATTCCCCATCTACAGTGAACACTTCTTTTTTTAAAGTTATTATTTTTAAAAGCACCTTAAAGGCTAACGCATTGCTACAGCATAAACTTTCATAGTCTGGACTCCACTCCATCACATACATTAAACAGGTAGGTGAAAGGAGGATAACATCTAAAGGAGAAAAAATGTTAATCATGAGAACGGAGGAAAATGAAATACAGATATTAGGCAGTCGCTCCCTTTTTAAACACACCAAAGATACGGGAAGCTAAGCTCAGCTCCCTTCCTACCTGCTCTCACCTTACCTGGCTGCATTCCATTGCTTCAAAAACATTTTCTTCACCTTGACTCCTTTAAGTTATTGGAGCTGGGCTGGGAGAAAAGTGCTTTAAAGGAACAGCAAGCCGACAGGGACAGGGTTTGTTCCCAGCTTATGTGCTCGTCCTTTCTGATGAGATGAGAGAGGGAAAGGAAGGAAGTAGCTGGCATGCCAGGGTATTCGTCCATTTTGCCCAGTATTGTTTAGCTCTGCTAACCAGAGCCGAGTGCAAAAATGAGGGAGCACATTTAGAGCGTAGGAATTTCTTTTCAGCACCGGTACTGAACTGAGACCACAGACCTTTCGCACAAAGGCCTGCTCCTAACTTTGTTTCATTTCAGCAGCCGAATGTAGTTGGGGGCAGGGTGGATAAAAATCAATGATTTTAAAAATAAAAATAATAATGAATCAGATTTTTTAAAATTTAAATTGGATTTTTTAAAATTTAAATTGGATTTTTTAAAATTTAAATTGGATTTTTTAAAATTTAAATTGGATTTTTTAAAATAAAATGCTTTTGGAGGAAAAATCTTTCTAAATATAGTTTTCTATTTAATTTACATTATAGTCCAAAGGCTATTCATCAGCAAATAAGGATTTGTTCTAAGTTTTTCATATGTACTAAAACACAGTGTAAGTTAAAAAAAAAAAAAAAAAGTTTAACCACATCGGTTAACAAGCATGGATACATATGCTATAATGTTATTGTTTTAGTTAAATAAATTGTTTAAATTGTTCTTAAGGAAATGATTATTTTTCTCCTTCCAATAAAGCACAGCAGAAGAGTTGTCCAAATATAAACAATAATTTCATAATTATCTGACTACACATTTCTGATAGAATAACTAAATCGGTAATTTTTGATGTAACTATAAAAACTACTCTAAAAATTTATTATTCCAAAAACGAAACCTTCCTCTGGTGGTAAATACTAAGAGGATGCCAGCAAGGTTGAACCTTTCTGTAAAAATGATTTAAATCAAGCCTTGCGGACCAGTGATTTAAATCAAGTCTTACTGACTAGTGATTTAAATTGATTTGATTTAAATCAAATCCACCCTGGTTGGAGGAAACCATTTTGATGTTGGGATTGTTAAGCAATCGGTGACCCTTGCTGAACCCCAGAGATCTGTCAGCACATTCAGATCTAACTTCTGCCAGCCTCTGCCAACGTGCTGCCTCTTTTAAGTGGGGATGAAACGCAGGCCCTTCCACACACAAGGCAAATGTTTGGCCACTAAGCTATGTGATGCCCTTCCCTTTTTCCCCATGTGAACAGGGCAAATGGCTGCTCACTGCATCTAGTTCTCTAATAAATAAGTAAACAAGCAAAACAAAGAAAGGGAAGATCAAATAAAGAGAAGATACATACTGTAAGGTCAACCTTACAAGGTTCTTGCAGTGATAAGGCAGGTGAATTAAATACCGTATTTTTCTGTGTATAAGACGAGTGTTTTTTATCCAAAAATCATATAAAAAATTGGGGGTCATCTTATACACGGGTGGTCAGAGAGTAGGCACAAGTAGGAGATACACAGTGGTGATTGGGCGTGTGAGGCCAGGTGTGGCTGGGATTTGTTGTTGTTGTGGCAGTTGGTCGGGCGATTTGTGGCTCCGTTCGGTCAGACGAGTGGTGCATAGCTGTCAACATTTCCCTTTTTTAAAAGGGAAATTCCCTTATTCCGAATAGGATTCCTCGCAAGAAAAGGGAAAAGTTGACAGCTATGGATTGGTGCCTTCTGCGAGGCGTGCGATTGACAGCTGCGGTCAGGTGGTTGAGCGATTGACGGCCACCCCCCACCCCCATAAAAAGCTGAACAACTCTGGGCAATCCCCCCCCCCCAAAAAAAGCTTAACATCTCCTCCCCAATTTCTTAATTTGGAGTCCCAAAGAATAGGGGTCATGTTATACACGAAAAAATACAGTACATCAACATCACTCTTTTTCTTATCCTTCCATAGGACCCAGAAAACAATACATTGTGTAACAAATGCTATCCAACCCAAATCATGTGGCATGCAAGGCTATATACCTGGGGCAGCAAAAATGCAACAATAATAATCTGTTCTAACCATTTGCTGTCCTTTCATGATATCCCAACTTTTCTGACTGAGCCTCACTTCCAGGGATCCAGTTTGTGAATCGGAAATGAGGACTGGGTCACCCATAAAGTGTGTGTGTGTGTGTGTGTGTGTGTGTGTGAGTGAAAGAGAGAGAGAGAGAGAGATGGAGGGGCCGGACTTATAGGAGGCTTTGAAGAGATTTTGGATCTGCGAGTCCACCCGGAGCATGCCGTTATTTCAGGATCCGAGTTAAGAATGTCAGAAAGGAGCGCGGTGGCGAGGAAGCGTCTGCGCTGGAAGCCAACCCAGATTTTGCCTGCCGGAAGAATCACCTGTAGCAGGTGAGCAGGCAAAAACGCGAAGATCTTGCCGGAAGGCACTGGCCTTCCTTACAGTGATCTTCCGCAGGCTTGGGATCCACAGCAAGAAGTCGACCAACTTAAACCTAGCAAGAATCGGCATTTGCGGATCTGCTTCTGGCTCTAACTTCACGGCCCCACCTGGCGACTCTTTACGCGCAGACTCCGCCTCTGAGATCGCTCAGAGAGCAGCAGGAGACTCTTGAATATCGAGGTCGTGGGTTCGAGTCCCATGTCGGGCAAGAAAAAGATCAGTGAAATGTTGGGGCTGGCGTTCTCCCACGTTTCCACAAACCCCATCGCGCAATATCCCTCTCCGTTCCCACCTCTCTCTCTCTCTCTCTCTCTCTCTCCCTTTCCCGTGGCAAATGCAGGGGAGTTCAACGCACAAGCCCACTTGGCTTTGATTTCAAAGCGGAACGAAAGGGATCGCCCAGCTTTGGGGCGGTGAGAATCCGTGCAAACCTGCAGGGGAAAAAAATGAGTGCCAAACGTTCCTTGTCTCCGCGCCACCCCCACTTGCGTCTCCGGGGGCGGATCCTGCTCGCTTCCTGCGCGCAATCGTGAGTCACTCCGGCTGCGCATAAAGGCAGCAGGTCCGCGCCAGCTGCTCCAGACTCGGAGATCTCTTCAAGAGCACCAGCTGCGGATCCTGAACGGCGCTGGGCAGCTAGTGAAAGCTCCTCCTCGGGAATATCTATTTATATAATAATAATATATTATTATTTATTTTATCATATCCGCGATTTCGGAAGCTGAGCCTGCTACTTTGTGCGCCAAAAATGATTGCACCCTGCGTTGTCTTGTTTTCTATCTTGGCCATCAGCCAAGCAGGTGAGTGCTGCTGATCTTTTTAAAATTAAGTCTGTGCTAGCTACAAAAAAATCCAGCGCTGTGCTGAGCTGGGATGGGGGGGCACTTACCTTCGGTGCAAATCCTACTGGCTTCCTAGGGTTGCGCATTGATATCTCATTTTGTCCTTTTCCTGGCGCTCTTCGGCTTTTTAAGAATGGTACACTTACCATTCAGAGCACCGATGCTGTTTTGTTGCAATATATGCAGGCTTGAACTTTGAAGGAGCCTGGGAATGTTTAAGTAACCCTGAAATGAGAGGTTAACTTGTAAAAGTGCTGACAGTCCCCCAAAAAGTATTTTTTTGGGTCAGGTTAGGTTAAGGAAAAAATGTCATGTAGGGTCTTAGTCAGGGACTATAGATAAAAGTATTTAGAGGACTCCTTTTGGACTGTAAGAACATGAGTGGTTTTATTCTTGTATCTATGAATGTATTTTAACTGAATATAATTATTTCTGGCTTTGTCTCCTCGGCACCTATGTTGTCTGAATCAGGGTTAATTTCCTTTAACAAAAGGCAAATGTAGAGGAAAAAACCAGTATCTCCTGGTGCTTTTCCTCCTGCCTTCTGTGCACTCATTCTGAAAAGATTAATGAAGCAGTAACTAAACATTATGCCCATTCATACCCTTTCTTCTTCTTTGGCCAGGAAAAGTTATGTAAGGGAGGGCAAGGAGCTGAAAGCATCAAAAGTGCTTGATGCTGGTGCTAAGGGCAGCCTTTTTCTGTACGTCATTTGCCTAGCCTGTAAAATGGGGAGAGGCACCGTAACTTCTGTTTTCAAACTAGTGTATGCCTTTTCTTTTTTACATTCTTTTATTTATGTGTGGATAAACCATGCTGCAGAGTCAAATGTATGTAAACGGTTACCAGTGATTTTCGGAAGTGCATCTCGCTAAGGATCTTCTTAGGAGACTGTCAGAAACTTTTAGAACCGCTGGGGGGGGGGGGGCATGGTGGCATAGAGGAAGGATTAGACATCAGCGCCGGTAGTACTCTGAGGCTTTATTAGAAGCTGCTGGCATCATTATGTTCACTGGAAAGTGAACTTAAGTTTCTTAGAGCACAAACCTATAAATGTCTAATCAGAGGAGGAAGCCTAATTGGAGCTTGTTCTCAGATATAGGGGTTGTAGCCTTAGATACACAATATAATGTCCTAGATGAATGCTTTATTACATTTCAGGGATGCGTGTTATATTTGCCTGCCTTTGTTCCTGCCGGTGGTACTAATTTCTACTAACATGATCTAGTAAAAGTTGTACATGTTTCATAAGAAAGACTATTGCCCAAGAATTTAAGTATCACGACCAGTGAAATCCATTCTTTGGGGTTTGTATGGAGTAGGCAATCGCCTTCTCTTCCATCTTTGCCCAGAGCGGACTCCCCATCAATTTCGAGAAGAGTTTTTTTCCAGCTGAAAGTTCCTATGAAATGACACTTCGGTGTTAGTGTGTCTGCAGAAGCAGCAGCTACGGCAGAAATCATTTCTCCAGCAACAATACAGGGGTGCTAGTGATGATTCTGTAGGCAGCTGCATTTAGAACTATTTTCCAAAATTGGGGTCTTTTCCACCCAAGAAAGTTAGATCAGCCTCCTGCTTGCCTCTTCATGCTCCCAACAGCTATACCATAACCTCATGTGCGTGATGCACTAACAAACAAGAAAGGCTGGATGCATTCTGTGGGCAAATATAATATGATGGTATCAAGTGGCAGTTGGTCTCTAGGGAACTAATCAATTAGCACTGGTCCAAGGGCCTTTATAAGATTCTAGATCTTGCTTTGACAGCACACCTCTTGATTCCCTTCCAGTTAATCCTTGCTGCTCAAATCCATGCCAAAACAGAGGAGTATGCATGACAGCAGGATTTGACCGCTATGAATGTGACTGTACACGGACTGGTTATTACGGGGAAAACTGCACTACACGTACGTATTCCAGAAAGTTACGCTTGCACAATTAGCATTTCGGAGCATTTAACAGTTTTTGCTAATGTTCGTTGCCCTTCGTTCCTTGCAGCGGAATTTTTTACTTGGCTGAAAGTGACGCTGAAACCCACACCGTCCACAGTCCACTACCTTCTCACTCATTTCAAAGCAGTCTGGGATGTAATCAACAACTTCCCTTTCCTCCACAATGCCATCATGAGATACGTATTGATGTGTAAGTATCCATCTCTCTTAATGCTACTTTTACAGCACAGTCCCGTACGCGTCTACTCAGAAGTAAGTCTCGTTGAGTTCATTGGAACTTGCTCTCGGGTAAATGAGCATTGGACTGGAGGCTTAAGCTGGAGGGTAGGTATTTACCCAAGCACTTTGAAGTGTTATATGTTGGTTGCAATTTATTTTGATCTAATGCAGTAACCACTGCCTTAGCCACTCTAGCCACTCAGCCTTCTAATAAATGGCATTAGGCAAAGCAATGGCTAAGTCAAGCTCCTTCTTTGGGTGCCATCTGCCTCTTTTTGAAGATAAGAGCAAAAGTTCAAACGTTTCTTCAAAGTCCATGTATGGTACACACTGAAAATAGGTTTAGCGGTAATTTCCTCTCTATGGGTTACTGTAGTTCTGTGACAGGGGTGGGGAACCTCTGTCAAAGAGTTTTGAGCACCCTTGCCAAACTCCAGTTCTTGGGAATCTGAGAGAAACCATTAATGGACATTTTAAGTGTAAGAATCTTTCCGCGTAGTTGTGACCCAAGAGACAAAAATGCGGAGAGAGTAAAATTGAAAATGGATTTTTACATTCCACGTCACTTCTGAAAATGGACTTTTCAAGGTCAGATGCTTACCCCCCATGGGGCTTAGACTGTGAAATTAGACTGTGTGGGAAGTCTTGTTGGGAAGGTTCTCTGTCTCCATAGTGTGGTCATTTAAGCATGGTCATAATTTTTCTGGTTCTTTCTCTCCCCTTCCAGCAAGATCCCATTTAATAGAGAGCCCACCAACATATAACAGCCATTATGGTTACAAAAGCTGGGAAGCCTATTCGAACCTTTCTTACTATACTAGAACTCTTCCGCCGGTAGACCACAACTGCCCAACTCCTATGGGTGTGAAAGGTAAGAAGGGGGAAAAAATCTGTGCATGTGAATGTAAGACAAAATGAAATATTATTCCTCCTGTATGTACACAAGGCCAGTGGGGGCAACCCTGACCTCCTTTCTCAATGCAATAGTTAATTATGTTCAGTGAATGCCTGAAAACGGCTTAAACATTAGAAAATGTGTCAGAAGGAGAAGCACAAGATATTGCGTGTGCGTTGCAGCACATATTTTCCCAGCGAAATGTTCTGTCTTCCTTTGTCAAAGGAACAGAAAACTTGCTGTGGTTGTTAATCAGCCAACAAATTGTGTGTATATTGGCAACCAAATGAATAACTAACAGGTTTAAACCAAGACAACTACCGGTATATTTAATATGATAATTAACAATTGGACAGGTTTCCAAACTGCAAAGAAGCTATCAACATGCATTAAGCTGGGGTTTGACATTTTTAATTCTTCCTGTTAAACTCCTGTAGAACAGACAGGAAACAGCTGCAGTTATTCAGTCTCTAGTGCATGGGTAGGCAAACTAAGGCCCGGGGGCTGGATCCGGCCCAATCGGCTTCTCAATCCGGCTCGTGGACAGTCTGAGAATCAGCATGTCTTTACATGAGTCGAATGTGTCCTTTTATTTAAAATGCATCTCTGGGTTATTTGTGGGGCCTGCCTGGTGTTTTTAAATGAGTAGAATGTGTGCTTTTATTTAAAATGCATCTCTGGGTTATTTGTGGGGCACAGGAATTCGTTCACAAAGTCTGAGGGACAGTGGACCAGCCCCCTGCTGAAAATGCTGACCCCTGCTCTAGTCCCTTTGGGTGTCAGAAAAATAAATGATTGCTTTGCATTGCAGGTAAGAAGGAGCTTCCCGATTCCAAGCTCATTGTAGAGAAATTTCTACTGCGGAGAAAATTTATTCCGGACCCACAAGGCACAAATATCATGTTCACATTCTTTGCCCAGCATTTCACCCACCAGTTCTTCAAGACAGATCATCACAAAGGACCAGCCTTCACCAAAGCTCTTGGACACGGGGTAAGATGGCAGAACTGTGACTTGGACTGATGAGTTATTGCAAACAAACCTTTTTATCAACTCCTGCGGTGAGAGGGATATCTTGCCATCCACAAAGGAGTTGCATCAATATTGTGATAGGCACAATGTACAGCAAATCTCTCTTGCATAACCTCAGAATAGCCTGTTCCCACAATCTGATGTGCCCACTGTGTGGGAGAACCATTTGACTTTATTTGGTCAGTCTCTAAAATGCATAGCAATTAGGTTCTCCTCAATTTATGGAAAAATAACTATTGCATCCCTGAATTTGGGGTGAAAAATGCAGTCGGTCTGTGTGTTTATAAACCGGTTTTGTCTGCAACACAACTTTCTAAGTTAACACTTTAAGCAAGGGTGGTGGTGATTTATGCTGTTGTAATAGTGGTTGTTTACAAGGGCTCCTGCTTTTTGAAGTTGTCATTGAGGACAGCGCAAAAACTTGAAAGAGCTGCGCTTCCCAAATTTTATCCGTAATGACATTTGAGAAATAACATTGTTTTCCAACACTTTTAATGAGTGGAGAGAACTCTTGCTTCCATTGGAACGTCACTGCAACATATTATGTTCTGAAACATTTAGAGGGAGAATCTAATTGTTTTTCTGTCTTATCTGAGAAATTAAAATTAGACTTTGATGTTCCTATTTTTTCAACAGGTTGATCTAAATCACATCTATGGAGAAACTTTGGACAGGCAGATGAAACTCAGACTGTTTAAGGACGGGAAGCTGAAATTTCAGGTTAGTTTGGATTCCTTCTGAAATCCAGAATTTCAGAATTCTGTGTGCTGAGAAAACGAGAGCATCACTTATGTTAACATCTTTACCAGGAAGAGAGGCGCTTCCATGTTTCCTCTGATGCACAGAAGGTCCACAGGCATTTCAATAACTGCATGAGACACCCTATTCTTACTAGATAACTATGTGCATCTAGATCAATGCTACAATTTACAACAAACCTCTGTACTTGAAACCCACTGGAAATTGACAAGTATAAACATATTATATTTTCACTGGATTTTAGTATTCTTGGCTGAAATTCAGTATGATAGAAGATTCTCTATGCTGCCATGCTCATTTATTTATTTTTTTAATTACAGATGATCGATGGAGAGATGTACCCACCCACGGTCAAAGAAACTGAGGCAGAAATGATCTACCCACCACATGTTCCTGAGCACCTGAAATTTTCTGTAGGGCAAGAGGTCTTTGGTTTGGTTCCAGGGCTGATGATGTACGCCACGTTATGGCTCCGGGAACACAACCGGGTCTGTGATATTCTGAAGGGCGAGCATCCAGAATGGGATGATGAGCAGCTGTTCCAAACTGCCCGCCTGATCTTAACAGGTAATTCTTACAAATGTTCACTGTTAACACACTATTACTCAATGAAATTTTGCTGCTGCTAGATGTGGCAATGGCCATCACCTAAGATGGCTTTAAATGGGTTGAGACAAATTTGCGGCCCAACAGCATCTGTTGCCTATGTTGTCTAAGCAGAACATCCATGTATAGAGGCAATAGGTTGTATGAATACTGAATAGGAACCTGAAAGAATGGCTTATTACCCTTTTGCTTTGATTCTGAGTTTCCTCGGGACATTTTGTTGGCCGCCGTTGGAAATGTGTTGCCAGTCAAAATGCATTTTTGGTCTGAATCAGGAAGGTCGTTCTTGTATTCTTCAGCATTCAATATTGTTTAGGAAATATAAGGGAACAGGAGGTGCTGTGGTCTAAACCACTGAGCTTCTTGGGCTTGTTGATCGGGAGGTCGGCGGTTTGAATCTGCGCAGCAGGGTGAGCTCCCGTTGCTCTGTCCCAGCTCCTGCCAACCTAGCAATTTGAAAGCATACCAGTGCAAGGAGATAAATAGGTACCGCTGCGGCAGGGAGGCAAATGGCATTTCTGTGCGCTCTGGTTTTCATCACAGTTTCCCCTTTGTGCCAGAAGCTGTTTAGTCCTGCTGGCCACATGACCCGGAAAGCTGTTTGTAGACAAATGCCAGCTCCCTCGGCCTGAAGAGAGATGAGGGCCGCAACCCATAATCGCCTTTGACTGGACTTAACCGTCCAGGAATCCTTTACCCTTTTATTGTTTTGGAAATGAAAATACTGACTGACTTTTGTTTTCTGTGGGGGAAACAGGAGAGACCATCAAGATTGTGATTGAAGACTACGTGCAGCACCTCAGTGGCTACCACTTCAAGTTGAAGTTTGACCCAGAGCTGCTCTTCAACCAGAGATTCCAGTATCAGAACAGAATAGCGGCAGAATTCAACACCCTTTACCACTGGCACCCTCTCCTCCCTGATACCTTCCAGATTCATGACCAAGAGTACACATACCAGCAGTTCATCTATAACAACTCCATCATGTTAGAACATGGTCTTTCCCACATGGTGGAATCCTTCTCCAGGCAAAGGGCTGGAAGGGTAAGAATTTATTTTCTACTAAGAAATTTCATAGCCTTCCTCTCAAGGCAACAGGGTACATCTGTCCACCTGTTAAATCACTCCAGTATCTGATAATGTTTTCAGCACGGTAAGAATGATTAGGGAAAGGGGGAATTTGTGGCACAGTTTTAGACTGCCTTCAGCTTTCTCTGTCGTATTTCAGACAGAGGAGTGAATAGCATGAGCAAGTTTCTCACTGTAAATCCAAGAGATGAATAAATGTTTGAGGTCCATCTGATTTCAAAGGGGCTTGAAGTTCTGATCTCCGTGTGGTTTCTCATATTACTCCATTTCTTTGATAACAGGTAGCTGGTGGGCGGAACGTCCCTGCTGCGGTGCAGAAAGTAGCGAAAGCCTCCATTGATCAAAGCCGACAGATGAGATACCGCTCCTTGAATGAGTATCGGAAGCACTTTATGCTGAAACCTTTTCAGTCATTTGAAGAGCTCACAGGTAAGACCTTGTCCTCTACTTATAGAAAAACAAGAGATTCATTTTTGGGGGCAAGGCTGCGCAACTTAGAGATCAAACTTCTGCTTTGCATGGGGATGTTTGGGGTCCAATTCTTGGCATCTCCAATTAAGGGAAAGCAATTAGCAGGTCCAGGATTGTGTAGGCAGCTAAAGGCTAGATGCTCCAATGGGCTGGGTTAGACTAGGTCATAGTTCAGTTCTATGCTGCCTCTCATCCCAAAAGCCCTCAAGTTGGTGCTCAAATGTTCAAATCCAAATCAAGATTCAAGCAATATAACCAATAAATGAATTTCTCAGTATATCAAGAACTTGTTGTTTGAAAAAAAAGTGTTGAGTTCTTGTAGAAAAGCTCTGTTGTCTTTCATTGGAGATTGGGTGGTTGCAGCTCCTCTGACAGGATTCCTCACTGTCTTTTCAATCTGCAATGAGAGATGTTCAAAAGGAGAACTACGTTCTAAGGATGAAAAGGAAGAAAATAGACTCTTATGGGGGGAGCTTCTATGTTGGTTTTCATGAAGAAAATTCTGTGTCAATCAAAGACCTTGAGAAGATATCTTACAGAGTTGTTATTTCACTCATTCTTCTCCAAGTGCATTGATTTTTTTCCCCTGCTGATGCAACTTTTCCTCTAGAATTACAGACTTGTATTTCTCTCTCTTTGTCTCTATTATTTTCTTCTGTATTACTTTCATGGCAGCCTTTGCAACAGCTAGAATCCTCTCCCTGTCCTCCTGTATAAGGCAATTCCCATGCTCCTTTTCAGAATCTTCTAGAATAATTACTTAGTGATTTAGAACTGAATACAAAACTGGGGAGAAAAGGGCTGAAGTTTTACTACTATGTGGGGTTTTTTTTTGGTCTCCCTATTCCAGGAGAAAAAGAAATGGCTGCAGAACTTGAAGAACTCTATGGGGATATTGATGCTATGGAGCTGTACCCAGCCCTCCTTGTCGAAAAACCACGTCCTGGAGCCATCTTTGGTGAGACCATGATAGAACTTGGGGCACCGTTCTCCCTGAAAGGTCTCATGGGAAACGCTATTTGTTCACCAGAGTACTGGAAGCCCAGCACCTTTGGGGGCAAAGTTGGCTTTGACATAGTGAACACAGCTTCCATCCAAAACCTTATCTGCAACAATGTGGAAGGATGTCCTCTCGTGGCTTTCCACGTCATAAACCCCGCAACAGCAGCAACGAATAACGTCAGCACCTCCAGCACAGCAAGAGACGAGATCGGCCGAGCTGTGCTACTAAAAGAGCGCTCTGCTGAACTATAGAGAACAGCTATTTGTATATTTATTTATTTATGATATCTATTATATTGTTGTTGTTTTTTGTTATTTATAGTTCAGGCAAAACACCATGGATTTTTTTCCTGTGCCTTGGCATCTAACCCACGATGCCAGACTTAAAGGGAGAGTTCTGCTTAGATTTGTAGGACTGGATCCCTTGGTTTTTAAGACTATCTTCTGTACCAGAAAGATGTATTCCAAAATGGATCAGGGCATTAGATCTGCTGCTTAAACTTGAACATAAACAATAGTTCTGCCTCTTAAACTTGACAGGTATGATCCTAAATACAAAACCACGTTACGTGCTGTTATCTGAGAGTCTGGAAGTGCTCTATTTTTTTTTAAAAAAAAACACCAACAAAAATCCAGAACAATTCTGGAAATCTGTGCTCATGAAAACTGTCCTTTTACAGAAATCTTTGTACTTTACGAAATGAATGTAGGACAAAAAGAATCCTTATGGTTTAGCCAAAGTTAAGGATTTTTACCCCCTGTTTATAGTAAACTCGGTAGGGTGCACAAACACTTAAACTGAGAGGGAGCGCGGATGCAAATTAGTGGAAAAGGAAAATTTATTTTCACTACCTCTCCCATGTGACACAGCAATGGGTTTTGATAATGGACTGATCTTCATTTTGTGTGTGTCTATAACCGCACTTCCCTTTTATTGCACACACAGTTCCTTCCTCTTCTAAGAGTAAAACCACAAATGTGTAGGACGCAACCCAGTGAAACCATTCACCTGTAACTCCTCTTGAAATGTATAGGAGCTTGCAGTCTCTGCAGAATCTCAATTGCTTTTTAATGGAAAGTTTCCCCCTAGCTCTATGTAATGGTGACTGGAAGATGAAATTTTACTCTTTGGTTTTAATGCCCCAAACAAAGGCTTGGAACTGTAGATTTCTCTCTCATTATAATTAAGAAGATGTAAAAAAGAAAGAAAGAAAAAAGAACCAGTTCTTTCTTTTTCCTCCCAAATTAATAGTTTTCAGTTATAGAGAGTGGATCCATATGATTTTAACGTCCTTGCAGAGACTCAAAGGCTCTATACAGAACAAGGGTGGACAACCTCTGTTGTAGAATATAACACTAAACTCATTCTTTCTGAACCCTAAAGTGCCTTCAGGTGTTTGAAACTCCATAGAGGAGCTAGTGAGATAGTTGTGCTGCCTCTTTTGAGATGCCTAAGTAATGTAATGGGTGATATATATGTCTCCCATAAGTAAGAACTGGAGTTTCAGATGTCATTTAGGACTCAAATCAATATGACTTGAGATACAGACCAGTACTGTAGGTTCCCAAACCCTGCTTTAACACAGCACTTTATGTATACAAAGGCCATTTCAATTTTTGGATACTGACACTGCATTTTTGTTAATATTATTATACTTCAGCTTCTATAATTTTAAAAAAAATTCTATTCCACTTTTCAAGTTGGCTAATGAACATAATTCCTCAAGTAAACCAACAGGCACTTGGGTATTGTCAATTTTACACATTCAATTAGATGATAATTAATGGACTTCTAACTTGGGAAATGCAACCTTATTCTCATATTGTAGGTATTAAACCTTTCATATTGCTTAAGAAATGCATGTTTAATAGTATGGCTCTGAAGCCCATACATTACTGGCCCTCTTGGTTGAAAAACCCTCTGTTATTTGTACTCTGGAAATTGATATAATGATTATTTGTTAAAGCAAAGTGGTAAAGGAGAAAATATCACTGGAAAAGGAAATATTGGTGTAACCCAAGGAAATATGGACAAAAGTCACCAGGAAACTCTTGAGAAAACTCCATGATATCTGCTGTTTGTGCTTTTGGAGCACTCAGTGGAGGTTGCTGAGGAGAACTTCTGGTGGGTTGTGCCCACAGATTATAGGGCTAATTGTCCTTTTTGAGAACACACTATTCCATTCCTCTTTGTTCTTTTGACTAGTTCAGGCCTAGAAGTTACCTCATCTCTTTCTGATGCCTATCACTTCTCCCATTTAAGTTCTTTCTCTTTGAAATTAGGACACCAGTCCTGCCAGTTCCTGAACTTCGTGTTCACTGTTCTTTCCCCACAAGCTTTTACAACCTACTCAGTGCTATCTCCTCTTCTATGTCTCTTGTAATTATTAGATTGTGAGCCTGTTTTTCTTGGAACCTTTCTTTAATAAGGAAAAAAAAATGTACATTACTTGCAAGTGCCGTGTGTGTTCTAAATAGCTGTAGTTCACTGTATGGTGCCAGTTTTATGGAATTCTGTCTTCCTCTGCATTAAGTTCACTGGATATGCATCACACAGCCTCATTTTGTTCCTGTAATATTTCCTTTTAAAAAAAAAAAAAACCAAAGTATTATTTATCCCAGCCTGCTGGTCTTGGTTGGGCGTTTAGAATGATGCCAGATTATGCACAGGGAAGAATTTTGTAGTGACCGCAATCCAGATAAAGTTAAGTCACATTTGTGTTGTTGTTAACATCAATGGGATTTAAGCATATTCTCTGGACTGTGGCCTTATTTATTACTATAGTTTGAAAACTGTTTGGTGGTGTTGTGTTTTTTTTAACGTTCCATGATGTGCAAAGTGTACTTCTACAAATAAATTATTTGAAAGCTAATTCTTTCGTGTCTCCTGCATTTTTCAATTCCCATCGCAATGAACACTAGTGCAAGGCGGTGGGGCTTTTTTTTAGCCATGCAGAAGTCAGGTTTCTGCACTCATACACACACACACACACACACACACACCCCGGGCATCCTGTGTTCAGGAAGGCAAAAGTTGTTGCTGCAATTCAAGGGCACATTCTCCCCAGGCTGGACTACTCAGGGATGTGGTCTGGGAGAGGGATCTGATGAGAGAATCCTGAGGCCAACATTATCCTGGAGGGACCACATTCAACTACAGGCCCTGAACATCTCCAATATGGGTGCATGTACCCAAGATTCCTGTTGACTAAGGCTTTGTTCCCATTCCCATATATGTGTACTCAATGCATTTCCAGTGTCGGGTTTTTACACGAGAGTTATCCAAAGGATATCTGCATCCCACACTTTGGTGGTCAGTCCTACTGTCTGAGTCTCAAACAGGCATCACACCTGTTGGAATCCTTAAGCTGTTCCTCATTTGTCTCTAGCCAAGGTTTGAAAGTGATGTGAAACACACCTGGGGGAGCGGGGTGGGCACAGTCCGGCTTGAACACGTCTACCATCTCTAGGCTAGGTAGACTTCGAAAAACACAGTGAAGTGGAGGTCACAAAGAGGATGGATAAATAAGAAAAGCAAAGCTTCAATAATAATAATAATAATAATTTATTATTTATACCCCACCCATCTGGCTGGGTTTCCCCAGCCACTCTGGGTGGCTTCCAACGAAACACTAAAATACAATAACCTATTAAATATTAAAAGCTTCCCTAAACAGGGATGCCTTCAGATGTCTTCTAAAAGTTTGGTAGTTATTTTTCTCGTTGACGTTTGGTGGGAGGGCGTTCCACAGGATGGGTGCCACTACCGAGAAGGCCCTCTGCCTGGTTCCCTGTAACTTGGCTTCTCGCAGTGAGGGAACCGCCAGAAGGCCTCAGCGCTGGACCTCAGTGTCCGGGCTGGATGATGGGGGTGGAGACGCTCCTTCAGGTATACTGGACCAAGCCCGTTTAGGGCTTTAAAGGTCAGCACCAACACATTGAATTGTGCTCGGAAATGTACTGGGAGCCAGTGCAGGTCTTTCAGCAGCCGCTCCCAGTCACCAGTCTAGCTGCCGCATTCTGGATTAGTTGTTGTTTCCGGGTCACCTTCAAAGGTAGCCCCACGTAGAGCACATTGCAGTAGTCCAAGCAGGGGACAGGAGGCGGGCAGGTAGGGTCTCAGCCTGCGTACCAGATGGAGCTGGCAAACAGCTGCCCTGGACACAGAATTGACCTGTGCCTCCACGGACAGCTGTGAGTCCAGAATGACTCCCAGGCTGCACACCTGGTCCTTCAGGGGCACAGTTACCCCATTCAGAACCAGGACGTCCTCCACGCCTGCCCGCCTCCTGTCCCCCCAAAACAGTACTTCTGTCTTGTCAGGATTCAACCTGAATCTGTTAGCCGCCATCCATCCTCCAACCGCCTCCAGACACTCACACAGGAACTTCACCGCTTTCACTGGTTCCGATTTGAAAGAGAGGTAGAGCTGGGTATCATCCGCATACTGATGAACAGCCAGCCCAAACCCCCTGATTATCTCTCCCAGCGGGTGCATGTAGATGTTGAAAAGCATGGGGGAGAGGACAGAACCCTGAGGCACCCCACAAGTGAGAGCCCAGGGGTCTGAACACTCATCCCCCCCCCACTTTCTGAACACAGCCCAGGAGGAAGGAGCAGAACCACTGTATAACAGTGCCCCCAGCTCCCAGCCGCTCTAGATGGTCCAGAAGGATGTTATGGTCGATGGTGTCAAAAGCTGCTGAGGGATCCAGCAGAACTAGGAAATAGCTCTCACCTTTGTCCCTAGCCCCCCCGGAGATCATCAACCAGTGCGAACAAGGCAGTTTCAGTCCCATGATGAGGCCTGAATCCCGACTGGAAGGGATCCAAATGGTCCGCTTCTTCCAGGTGTGCCTGGAGTTGTTCAGCAACCACTCGCTCAATCACCTTGCCCAAGAATGGAAGATTTGAGACTGGACGATAGTTGGGCATATTGGCAGCATCTAAAGATGGTTTTTTAAGAAGCAGTTTCAGCAGGTCTGGGAAGACTCCCTCACAGAGAGAAGCATTCACCACCCTGCGAAGCCCATCGCCCAGCCCTTCCCGGCTAGCTTTTATAAGCCAGGATGGGCAAGGATCAAGGAGACAGGTGGTTGGTTTCACTCATCCAAGCAGCCTGTCCACATCCTTGGAGGTAACAGATTGAAACTGATCCCACGCAACTTGACTAGACAGGACTCTAGCACTCTCCCGCCCCGGCCCTGCTCCCACGGTAGAGTCTACCTCTTCCCGAATCTGAGCGACTTTAT